GGAGGGTTGGGGGGTGGGTAATTTTACAAAACAGAGGGAAGATTTTTTTACCCACTATTAACCCCCTCTTTGGGGGGGGGGGGGGGGGGGTTTTTTTTTCAACTAAACTTTTAGAATGGTGGAACAAACCTTTTTTATCGCCGCCCCAGAAAAAGCCCCCCCCGGGGGGGACCTCCCCCCCGGGGGGGGGGGGGGGGTACTTTAGGAATTTCTGCGTGGGGATGTGCCGCTGCGACCCTGAAACCCTTAACCCATACCAGAGCTAGTTCAGCTAAATTTTGCTACCCTGTATTAGAGTAACCTCCCCAAATCCCCCCTATCCTAGAGTAGCTGTTTCCCTGTTCTAGATAAAATCATCAACCACCTGATCAGCTTCTAGACTACGAGCAGTCTCTCTTCTTTCTGTAGTCCGTCGAGCAAAACGCGAGACACGCAAATGGCCACGTGCGTGACTAATGGCGCGAGTCGGGAGAGACACGAGGCTGCCGCCCTCGTTTCGCGCGTCTCGCGGCTTCCGCGAGCGTGCATTGCTCTCACTAAATCTGAAGAAAAAGAGACTGCTTGCAGTCTAATCAGTCTCCTGAAAAATGATACCTATTCTAGACCCAAATGTTCTGATTTATATTCCCTATCCTGGAGGAAACTGCTTGAAAATCATACCCTTCACAGCGCCACATACTTATATATCCCATATAGGACTGTATAAGACTCCAAATAAAGCATTGTCTTGTATTGTCTATATGGCAGTACCCTCCCCCCCGGACATTCCCTTGGTGCTATTTGATTTGCTTGTAGTTCTGACTTTTGAGCTCGTGGACCAAACCCTACGACGTAACCATTCAAATGAACCACTTTGCAGCACTCTTGCATGCATATGCTCACTTTAAAAATAGCTAGGATTGAAACTACCTTTTAAAAAGGTAAAGATATTCTTGGTTAAAGAAAGGATTACAAGTCCAAAGATAGTGACACATACGAGACCTTTTGTTTATAGGCACTCTTAAAAATGAAGTGAATATCAGCGGAAGTTTCAAAAGATAGTTACTCAATCAAAGGACGGCTTTTTAGCAGCGTTGACACGTGGGACGTGCTATTAAATGCTGAAAGTAATTCCATTTCATTGAAAATACTCCCTGAGAGTAAAGTTACTGATCGATATTTCACTCTTTCTTTCTCTTCCCCTTCCCCACGACAGCGGTTACAAATTTGTACTCACAGAGGATATTGTCAGTAGAGGATTCTCTCAAATGAGAAGACAGTGTTAACGTTGGATTAGGGGAGGGGTGGGTGGTTAGGTGGGCAGTTAACCTGAATCTAATACGATCAAACCCTGTTACTACGGACACTGAGGGGCCATTGAAAGTGTCCGTATTAAGAGGGTTCAATTGAGAGAAAATGTAAGGGCTTTCTTTCCCCAGGGACAGGGACACGGGGTGTCCGTAAAGAGGGCTTTAACTTTACTATGCTTCTTCAATACTGTCATATTTCCATATGTCCCACTTGCATTTATCAGTTTCACAACAATCCATTAAGACTCCCTTCGTGGAGCAAGACACAAGCGAAAGGCACAAACACACTAACGCACCGAACAAACACGTGATCTCACAAGCGAGTTATACACTCCTGGAAGCAGGTACAACCTTAATCCAGGTTTAGTGAAGGGTTTTCGCATTATGGCGATTGCATCGCGCATCTCCACTTATTCTAAGAAGGTTACGATAACGTCCAGAACAGTCTAGGTTGTTGTCGTTATCAGTTAAGTGTTATTATTGTCATCTTTCAAGGATCTTCTTCGAGGTCCCAGATAACAAAGTCCATCAATATCACTTTCAAGATATATATCAGGAACATTTTCCGCAATCCTTAAATGTTCCTTGAGTTCGGATTTACCAAGTAATAGCTTAAGCAAGAAGACGAGCGATCGAACAAAGCTCACAAAGAGAACTCTTCAAAAGTTTAAATGGCTGCGCTCGAATCGACGATTTTAGTTAGCGACATAGTTGGAAAGGGGTCTAACATATTCACCACTTGATTTATTCTTTCTTCTACCACCACTGGGAGGTCTATTTTGAATAGCCACCTGTTGCCTAATTCTGCAGAGCTCTTCCCCTTGTCTAAGAACTTGTGCCCTCAAATATAAGCACTGGAAATATAAACCAGAAGTTGAAACGGACTATTAGGGAGCTTAAGCAACGAAGACGGCGACGGCAACAAGAAAGGCGAAAAAAGCATTTGGTTTAGATTAAACACAATTGAAAATTCTAAAACCGTCAACCTAAAAAAGGTTACCATCGCTTACGAGAGGTGGTCATTTACTGGAGGTTCCCACTATGAGGCTTTGACAGCGAAATATTGGTGTTTTGGATAAGTGGTCGCTTAAGAGAGGTGGTCGCACATGGAGATTTGACTGTCTTGTGTAAGGGGCCGAACAAATGAACATAACAAGGTTAAGAATCCCAACTGACCGGAGGCAAACCAGTTGGTAATTTACAAGCGTGATCGAGGATTTGAACTCGGGACTACCAAGAACAAAACCAGCTAGAGGCCAGGGCGGGAATTGAACTCAGGGCCTCCGGATTTCAAGTCCAACGCCCTGACCACTCGGTCACGCTACCTCCTCGGAAATCAAAGATAATTCTTCTGTACTACAAAAGGACTGGGTTTAAGTTTTGTTTACAGTGGAAAGTGCACTTAGCTTGTCCAGCTAGTTTACAGGCACTCCACTCAAATACTTATTGGAAACAAATAATCCAAACCGGATTAAAAACCTCAACTGGCAGGGGGCAACTAGTTTTCCTAGTTATCAGCGTGCCCGAGGATTTGAACTCGGCACTACCGAAAACAAATCCAGCAAGTGGCAAGAGCTAGACTCGAACCCGGGACCACCAGACTGCGCGTCCGACGCACTGACCACTCGGCCACGCTGCCTCCTTTTAAAAGGAGGGCCAGTGAAGACTCTAAATTTGAAGTATTTGCGAACTCCTGTGAATCAACTAAAGAGCAGGTATAAGCAATAGTAGCCTACGTGAAGCCGTACCCTCCCCCCGACGACAAAGTAAAAATGGAGAGAGGGAGGGTGCGGCTACACGTAGGCTATAGCGATAGAACACTCCAAACCAATGAGATATATTATGAGGAAACGAGTAATGTGATGGCGATATATTAAAGGAACGCATCTTACCTCTTGTTTGTTTTCTTTTAGTTCCTCCAGGAGCTTTTTGATGGAGTTTATTTCCCTTGCTATGAAAAAAAGAAGAAGAAAAGCGCGCTCTTAGACGGACACTTGGTGGGTCTACTACCACGTGTCGGTCTAAGAGAAGTACCCGCCTTATAGAGTCAATGGAAAAGGAATCTGATAACTGGAGGGACGAATTAAGGATGTTCAGTTTAAGGAGTTCTCGATGTTAATGAGATTTCCGTTTAAAGGGAGTTAATTTGTAGCTATGATTATATAATATACTTAGCACAGAAAATAACAAACCTACCTCGTGGAAATGCAGAAAGTTAACAAAGAAAAGCAGAAACTGTACGCTGCATATGAACGAGTATTCTCTTTCAGGCTTCCAATTTAGTATCTAACATAAAACAACAAGCAGCAGAAGCAGCAGAAGCAGCAGCTTACCAAAATTAAATTCCAAATCATGAAGTTTTTCATTATTTGCTTCACCAGGCCCGGGAACTGAAAGACTGCTTTCTGCTCTTGTTCTCTGTAATCTAAAAGAGAAAATAGTAAACAATAATACGCAGCTGACTAAGCAATGTTTTCTATATGGTAGCTTCCAATCAAAACGAAGTGAACGCAAATCGATAAATGTTGTCCATTTTGGTCAAGTGTTTCATCAATAACCATAGTTTTGATCCTAAAACAGTCTAATCTCAGTTGGAACACTTACAATTTAAAAAGAATTTTCAAATTAAAAAGTAGAAAATCTGCGTTCTGAAACCTTGACAAAACTCTCACACTAGTACCTAATGTTCTACACGTAAAGTTCTCATTACATATATCCTTCATCTTAAATTCACCGGGTTTTTTTTGTGCGGTTCACTTTGTCTGACTTATATAAACCACTCGGCCTTACCTTATACAAATCAATATCAACTCAACACTCTAATTACCTGTCACGCCCTTGACTTTCGAGAACCTTTTTGGCGTCAGGATACTCCTCTAAAGCCTACAATAATAAACAAATCGTGCCCATTTATTAACACAGTTGAGTAGAGAGTGACATTTAATTCCTAAAATGGGTCAACCTTCCTTCCCCTGTAAACGACACCAGGCAGATAGCTTAAATTGCATTAAGCCTAAATTAAAAATAATAGACACCAATTGGCTTCAAGTTAGCGGATTTATTCGCAGATCTCAAAACGCAATAGTTCTTTATGCTTCGTCATTTACTACGTTAAAAATCGGCATCGGGACGAACTAGTTTATTTGAAAAATATTGAATATTGCGCCTAAAAATAGTACCTCCATCAAGTCCTTTTGAGATAGACATAACAGTTCCGAGTATCCTACTGACCGAACATCAGCAGAACGCCTGTAAAGAAAACACAGAATAGTGAGACTGGCTTCTTAACTTTAAGTCCCAGTGGTGACCAACACCAATTTTCTCCAAATGATATCCATATATTGCCAAGAGATAAAGTTATGAGAATTAACAAAATGATCACCAAAGAGAAAATGCCCGGATCTGTAATTCAATTCTCTCATTTAATTCTTTAAGGAAATGTATGGAGATCAGTTTGGAGAATTTGTATGTGGATATCGGGGCTTAACAGTTAGAGTTAGGTATAAATGACACAACAAACACAAAGGAGGCACGGATGGACAAACTGGAAGAAGACTGAAAGATGATTGATGCAGATGATATCAATCTTAAGAAGTGGAATGCATGTTTACCTGTTTTTTCCCTCATCGAGTCGCAGCAAACTGATTTCTCCGAAATAGTTTCCCTCCGTTAGAGATGCTACGACAACTTCCTCATTGGTAGAAGAGTCTGTTATAACCACCTAAAGTTGAAAGAAAAGGGGAGTCAAATTAGACTGGAAACACTTCAAGTATTCCGTGATTATAGTAGTTTTTCTCGTGAACGGGAGCTCCACTTTTGGGCTTGTCTAATTAAGTATAAATCATTACGTGATTAAAACACAAATTGATTGAATGATTAATTGACCAGTTGACTGCCTGATTGATTGACTGTCCAAGTGATTGATTAGGTGATCATTTGATTGACAACAGGTAAGTAGATACCGGCCAGCCACATGGACTGACTGAAAGGTCAAATGCTCAACTTTGGCCTCAAAGGTTATCACAACAGAAATTCACAAACAATTTTCACAAAAAAAAAAAAACCTTTTTAAATTGTAGTAATTTGTTTACCCACGGAGCACTTAGGACTTCATGAGAACTCGTTGAAACGTGTCCGCGTTCCAAATCGAACTGGAATTTGGATGCGTTGGTTTCTAAGGAGAGCAGAAAACCGGAGTACCCGGAGAAAAACCTCTCGGAGCAAGGGAGAGAATTAACAAAAAACTCAACCCACATATGGTGTCGACGCCGGGATTTGAACCCAGGCCACATAGATGGGAGGCGAGTGCTCTCACTACTGCGCCACCCTTGCTCCCCCTAACTCTGTTTAGGGAGTTGTTTCATGTCTCTTTCGTAAGATTAAGACACTGAAAGAGTTGCTGAAGACAACCATTTTCTCACCTCGACTCTTCCATTGTTGATAATGTACATCTCTCGCCCTTTAAAGAAAAACCATCAATTCACAAGATTATGAGAATCCACCAAGAAACAAGAATATTACTTTACAGTCTTGATTAGTGAAATGGTATGGAAAAGATACCTCAACTCAGCTTCACCTTACAGAGTTAAGAATTAAGGGGAGTTTCATATACCATCGAAAGAGTCGACAAACTCCAAATATGGCTTTGTATTAGGGACCAGGTGTGCAACGCACTTGTCAGTAAATCTGGGCAGTAAAAATTAACAAATGACTGTCTTCTTACCTATTTCACCAGAACGACAGATATAGTCCCCGGGTGAAAATATCTGGGGTCGAAGTTTAAGAACCAATTCACACAAGAGACCCTGTTCACAATCTTTAAAGATTTTTACCTGTATAAAACAAGCAAACAAATTCAAGAGTTTTGAGAAGAGTCTTGGTTCAAGTTGTACCAAAGGTGGATCGTGATTTAACCGTTGAATAACGCTATCCGACGTTTGAACAAACCGGGCCAAGTTGGGCTACAAGATGTTTTGAGAGTAAGCGCTGGCTCAGTGGCACTTGTTCCCAAATGTCATACTTGTGCTCCCCCTGATCTTCAATGCTGAAATTCTCCATTAAAGAAAAAACTACTGCTACTCATAAAACAAAGTTAAAGGTACTTGCCCATACCTTTCTTAAAGTATCCAAATGTACATGGATAGCTATTTCAGTTCTCAGTCTATCAGGAAGCATTTCTAAGGACGAAGACTCGTCGAGGGCTTGTGTTCTGCACATTAGACAATTGCAACAGCATTTTGTCGTTAAATCATGACTGGCCCACCGCATTAATACTAACATAGTATTCAAGTTAGCATAATCTTCGTAGCAGTATTCATGTTAAGACTGATTGATGGCATAATGATCAAGAACGTAAACATCCAGCCTACGTGGATGCGATTGTCTTTGTCAGAAGTACTTTGACTCACGCCCCTCTGCTCCGTTGTCACATTAACAAGGATAACAAGGGGGCTAAAGATCGTATTAAAAAGTTGCAATGACAGTTTTAAAATAGGAGAGGGATAAGATTTTCTAGGATTATTATTTTTCTCCTCATGGTACTATACTTTATTTTCATAAACATGAATTTGCCATGCATCTGGCGCACTGATGCAAGACGAGTGTTGTTTGTTCGGCAAAAGTACCTCCGTTGCCAACTTACAAGGATACTAAGGGTGCGTTTGAATGATCGTATTCCGGAATAAGAATGCGCAGAAATTTGTCACGAATCTTTTCGGTCGCAAATTTTTGGTCCTTTGAAGTGCTACATTCTTCTAATCCATATATTTCCACACAAAGAATGAATTTCTGAGTTTATTCCATGTATTCTAACTCTGAAATACGATCAATAGAACGCGCCCTAAATATCGTCTTTATAGTTTAAGGCTTTAAAAGGAAAAGAGGGATAAGGTTTTCTAGTATTCACTTTCTTCCCTTTAAGGCGTTGAGGCGTATTGNAGACAAAGATAAAGCTGGTTCTGCAAAGGTAATAAATCTGGGCATGTAAAAAAAGTAACCGTAACTACTAATAACAGAATACAAGCGGGTTTTAATTCAACCCGGCGAAATCAAGTCATAAATTAATCGGATGTACAATCAGAAAAATACTCGCCTCTTAAGAAATGTTCAAAAACCTTTTATTCCACTTCAGACTGACGGAATGATCCGTTTTTCCTTTAGCATTGGTTGTTCTGAATCAAAACTAATTTTCAAGCAACGATAAAAAAGCAAACATGTCAAATAAAAATGCTTTACAGGGAGCAAACGTTCGCACCTCGTGCATTTCACTCAGAACTCCAGCAACAAACAAACACAGTCAACACACAGAAAAGAACGCCTTGAGCCTGCGATAGGGGATGCGCAGAAGCTTGCGCAGAACGTTTTTCCGCCCTGAAGTGCTGCACTGATTACACACCTGCTCCAGGCGTAGTGAGCCCATCTTTTAACTCGAGTTTGTAGCGTCTGTGGAACATTATGGTGCTCCATGAATTGCTTGATTGAGTCCATTCTTAAATAAAATTATACAACATTCAATTGCCTGTTAAACACATTCAATGGTAACTGTAGAGGAATACTAGAGCATCACGCATGGGCAGAACTGGCAATGACTGCTGGTGCTTGAGTAGCATGACTAAGATACTAGCTATTCCGTGGAGTTTGTGTAGTAAACCTCTTATAGTTTATAGGTTTCATGTGACTGATAGCATCTATTGCGTTGACCGTGGAAGTCGCGTCTTTCCTAGCGAATACACACTTCCGCCATTCCCACTTAAGCTACTCCAAGACTGAGAATATTTAAAAACAGCCATACAAAAAGGAAAACGAAAGAAGGTAAGACACAAGTTGATACCTGGCCTGAAAATTTGTCCTTGGAGCATTCATATTGCTGATGACGTCTCCAACGTTGCCAACGACAGTTGCAAATACAAAGATTCCAAGAAGAAACATGAATCCAGTGAAAATATATTCCTACAAAGAACATCAGTGCAACCGTCAATAAAAAACAGTACTCATGAAAGCTTTGTAGCAAGAAACTGGTGCAATTCGGCCACCGTAAAATATCTAAAGCTGAGTTTCCGAATGCTGGCCCTATAAAAGAACGAATCACTTACAATGTTTGTTTGAGGACTTGGAGTTTCACCGATCGTCATAAGAGTTAGAACCGACCAGTAAAAGGACTTAACGTATTTCCTGAAAAAAAAAGGGAAAGTGATTGTTTCTAGCCACACTGTCACTGAGAACGTGGATCTTCAGTTATGTAGCCCTGCGTATCTATCAAACAATGAAAATGTTAAATCTCTATTACAGTTTGTAGGAGAGTCCAAAAGTTTTGTCATTTTATCTTAAAGAACAAGAATGTACAACATAACTTAAATTGTTTTAACCCTTGGTTCAAATTTCATTTTCCTTTTGTACTCACAAGCCAAACGATATAACAAAAACGCAGTTTTACGATTTTCTCTTAGAAAGTAATTGACGTATGCAGAATTAAGAAACAACTACGCGCTTGATAATTGTAGATTATTATAACTTGCTTTCATGCTGGAATTATTGGTCCAGACAATGACTAGTTCAGAAACAGACTTACGTAAATCATTTGTTCTGTATTTTAAGACAAACGTTCGTAAAGGAGCCTGCAAAGTAGGCACTACCAGCCACACGCTTCTCCTGAACGTTACTCGTAGGTTTTCAATAATAAAATTGGCCAGATGATATTGGGAGGAATAATGATTCTACATTTTACAGGAAACCTGAAATCGAACCTGGTAAATGAGTCGCCTCCTTTCTCGGTTTCCCCGTACACCCACTCATTTGAGCCCAACCCTTCGTATTCAGATACGGTATAGTACAGACAAGCGACCCAATGCATTGCTACACTCAGATAGAGAATGAGCTTAAAGGCACGCAAACGGTTAGGCTTGCTTGTTCGGTAGTCACTCATCAAGAAGAAAGTTTCCACAGAGTGCCACTTCAAAAGTCTGGGAAGACGTAAGAACTTAGCATCACAGGGAACTAGAAGAAAAGCAAAAAAGTCAGGTGTTTTGATAACTAAATTTATAATAGCAGTGAAACCGGCGATAAGCAGGTCTGTTTTGAATGAGTTGTAGAGCGCTGTGTAATAGTAACCTAAATTCAACTTATCGGTGATCGTTAGAATACTATTCAAACAGGGCAAATGTTCGGTATTCTAGGACAGAATTTCACCCTCCCCCATTGATTCGAAAATATTCTCTAGAATGAGACATCTGTCCCACAGTTTGAAAAAACTTAAAACATTTGCTAAAGGAAAAGGGTCACTATTTCACAAATTTGGAAAAATGTTAGAGACTGTATTTAACAAAGACCTTGGCTGCGCCTCCTTTTTTTTCAAACCATCCACGGCTTTGTTATTTCAGTATGGGCTCTATTGTCTCTTGCTTGTCATAGAGCAAAGTATATTCAAAATATACGTGGAACACAGAATGTCACGAAGGCTTCACTCAATTACATCAAAGCACAATTTTGTGTCAATCACAGATTTTACCAGTAATATATGTAGTGTTTATCCAAAATCTAGACACGGAAATAAGGAACTGTCTTAAAATACTTACAAAATAGTAAGGAAGATAGTGATTCTAGAGGTAGAAGACAAATAATGTCAGCTTTAAATCCTCTCTTTTTGTAGTATTTCTCCCTCAATTTTTCAGGGTCTTTCACCTTAAAAAAAAAAAATAAAATAAAAACGTACCGATATTTAGAACAATTATCCACACTAACATTTTCGTTCTGCTTGGGTCCCCTTCTTGAAACCTTCGCTTTCTTACAAATGCATTTCCGATCAAAAAAATTTAAGGAACCTTTTTGGTTCAAACCACAGCCCTATGATTCCCGTAAATAATTGAGGATGATTGACAAACTGGAACAACTAACTCTACCTGGGACCTGATACCGTAATTTTCCGAAAATAAGTCCCGGGGCTTGTATTTTTCAAAGGCCCTTTTTGAGGGGCTTATATTCGGACGGGCTTATCTACGGAGGGATATTTGCGTTTCAAAATCGATTGGGCTAGCCTTATAGTTGGAAGTAAATTTATCGTTTCAGCTTTGTTTTACTTTGTATTTGAGGGCAATTTTCCAAGAACAAGCCCCCGGGGGGCTTATATTTGGAGGGGCGATTCAACGGAGGGTTTTCTGCGTTACCGGTTTGGGGGGCTTATATTTGGAGGGGCTTATTTTCGGAATTTTTACGGTGAGAAAAAAAGGTATCGTTACTCTACATACCATAATGCCGTGGTCATCTCTGTAAGCAGTTCGTAGTTGCACACATATATCGCAGGCATACAGGCCATCTGCAAACAGATCTCCCCACCAGAAGATAACCCTAGAGAAAGACTTAAAAAAGGAGAGAAACGAGGGTTAATTTATTGATTAAACAAAAACAGCTCAAATTTGTCATCTTTATCACCAAACTGAAGGGCTGTTCTTAACAGTATGCATAGTACATGTGCGATGTATCGCCCTGTATCTTTGGCAAAATAGCCTACAAACTTAAACGAAATCGCTGAAGAGCTGTAAAAACGGGTGGTGTTTTGAGATTTGGTAGCAACTTTGCTGGTTTTTCAAGGAAAACTGTGTAGTGTCAGGTCCTGTAAATATCAATGACTTGGACTGTGACACACCACAAGTCTCCCTCAGGCTCAGCTGCCTTGAGGGTCTAGCGATACTCCTATGGTCAAAGGCTCAAGTCATGTAAAAGACTCATTGTTTCGCTTTCTTGACCCCATACTCAAGACAAGTTGAAAACTGCTTTGTATACTTGCACTCTATATCACCTATTCTATATCTGCATTATTTAGTTGCACACTATATAACCTACCTCATCTGAAGTTTCTGTAAAAGCGATTCCAAGGATGACAGTCCAAAAGTTATAGATAACTATGGCAGCTACCACGCCCTAAAAAACAAGGACAGTGTTTAATACACACCGTAGCATTACAAGTTTTTCGATCAGGAATTAAAAGATCCACGCTCAATTGAAAATTTAAATTATTAAGATCAAAACACAAAATATATACCATCCATAAGTAGTAGGCATCATCCTCTGGGTCAAGAACAAGTCTCTCAGAGCTTAGAAACTGAAAGAAAACATTTCCGGGAAAAATGACTATAGCGATTTTCTCCAAGTTACAAAATAGTAGGCAGTCATTCAAGTGTTGTTTACTCTGACCAAGCAAAAACAATGCAGAAACTAGGCAAACAAATTAGAAATTAGGGCATCCCCACTGGGCGCGGGAAATCGCCTTCCGATTAAGTAGAGAATGATAGCAGATATTGCAAAGACTTAACTGACGTCTAAAACTTTAAATTTCGGTGTCCACGACTAATATAACGTACTCTTAATAAAAGAAACAAATAAAACCTCACTTTCTCCGCTTAGGTTGAAGGGGTTAAAAAGGGCTTCTCTCCTTGAGTTATTTTCTTACACACACTCTCTTTTTCTTGAATAAGCAAACCTGCACTGGTTTTGTTTCACAGCTGGACATTTTCTTTGTGACGCAACAAAGGAAAAACGTAGCGCGCGCAACAAGAAACCAATCAACACCGTTAGCAGTCAAGTGTACACGTTTGAATTTGCGCGCGCTCTTTATGTTGACAAAAACTGCGTCATAGCCTGCGAACAGCAGACGCATTTCCAGTCGTCGCTTCTCTCCCCTGCTGTTCGCAGGCTACTGCGTCACGGCCTTGTCACTAACCAAGCTTACATAAGGGTAAATTTATCATGATTAAAAAAAAAGGACTTTCTTTGAGTGTCAACGTGTTTAGCACGAAAGTACTAATTGGGGACACTATTTTAGCGTCTCCTAGTCAATACGGAACGCCATTTTACGTGGTCATCCGAGCTACGCAAAGATCTAGCCATTTGCAGGGCAAAGGCAGTACCCTCATTTCTCAGTTATTTTAAGACCCTGAGTGTTGGTCCGGTCCCGGGAATCGAACCTGCGGCCTCCCGCTCTGCAGTCAAGCGGCCTACCGACTGAGCCAACCCTGCTGCAGTTGATAAACTATCAAAGGAAGCCTAGCCAGACCGCCAAAACGAGAAAGCAGTTCCCTTTGTTTCTAGAAAAACACATATTTTGCCTGCTTTTATTGCGCTTTGCTCGATTCGATAAGAACTTTCAGTTTCAGTGTAACACTTGTAAACTAACCTCTTGGATAGATTCTCCTACTGACAGGGCGTATCTTACGACAGAGCCTCGCCTAGAATAGGATGAGCTTTCCCCTTCTTCTTCGGTGATGCTTCCTAACGTACCGCAATCAGCACAAGCACCATTCCTGACATGACTGAAAACAAAAAGAGCTTATTCACTACAGGCACAACTATAAAGAAAATTTATTGTATCAGCCCCAACTTAAGGACGAATCAAAGTAACGTTATTAGAGGTTTCGTTGCTAGAAACGTCAAAATAAACTGCTAGAACTTTGAGCCAAAGCTACTCATCGACATTGCTAACTCTTCTGAGGGATCATTAGAGGAAGAGAGATTTTTAGAGGCTGGGCGCTCAACATATGATGGTCTTTTTTGTTAACTTTAAATACTTCCTAAGCCTTTATATTCTTTATCAAGCTGAGAAAAGTATGATTACGAAGTTCAGCAACTTCTTACAAACTAAACAAAAAAAATAGTTCATGGGTGTACGTACACGGTTGCGCCATCAACCAGTTCACCAGATTGTCTCTCGCCGCTTTACAATTAACAGAATAACCCTAAGGACTGGGGGCTTATATCCTTCGTCATTTTGTAAAACTTTTTTAACTATGTTTTCACTTACGTCGTCTTTTTATCCTTGCAGTTCACCGGAAAAAGAAAGTAAAACAAATGAATAAGCGTCCGGGCAAGACATCCTTAAACTAAATCATTAACAAAGACAAGCAAGAAGTGGCCCCAGGCAAGCAAAATGTATAAGCTGTTTGCCCAAAGGACAAACTGGTATTCCAAATTGGGTCTGTACACCGAAGCGACCGTATCTGTAAGGAGCTCATAGTCTTCAGACTAACGAGAGAAAAGGAATTGTACATTGAGGTCGAGTAAGTGCAGTATAACTAATCATCCTAAAAGGCGCCGCGCTCTAAGACAGCTTTATCTTGAAACAGGTTTTACTAGCAGCTGTGCAGTTTATGCTGAAAAATTCAGTAGTTTGAGTAGTGTAAGCAGGACGTGACAAGGACAAATTTATTCACACTAAAGTTATAAAAACAACAACTTTATTTGTACCCTACATTGTTTTAACGTGATACAAAAAAATTTACTATAAAATATGGAGAGAGTACAGGCTGCCCATGATAACTATTAAGGGCTAAAAAGATTGGGCAGCCTCACTTAGATTATTAATAAATGATTATATTATGGGTCAGGTACATCTTGCCTGGCCGCTGACCATCCAAGAAAAACGATTGCAAAACGGGGGAGTTAAATTGTTCTGCTTTTCAAATAGCTCTCATGGAACACAATTGGTTTGTGTGCAATAATTAACTGCTGAGTTAACAAGACGACCAAAGAATTCACATAAAAGCACTTAAAACTGTAAACTGACATTGTCTCACAATTGTTGGGGTTCGTCGCCCGGGTTTGTCACTATGCGCTGTCAAATTTACACCAGAAAGACAAACGTATTGTCGAAACTGAAGCGGAAAAAGTAAATCTCATTTGTGATTTTTGTTTTAGAGCTGCCGTTTGGAGCGAAAACAATAAACCTCGCCGCTCGCTCGCGCGTTCTCGCGTGACTCACTTCGCTCGCCCAAACTGGAGAGCTTGCTCGCGGGCTACAATAAACCCAGAACTGATGGCACCTAATCTAGTGTCAAAGAGTTCGTACCTGAACGAGTTTAGAAAAACCGGCGAGAGTTCACTTTGTACGTAAAAGTTACACGTACGAAGTCCACAAACTGTCCATAAAACCGAGGTGCTGAGCGGAGATTTTTTAAAACGCTTTGCTCAGTAATGATTACACGTAAATACAAACCTAGTAAAAGAAAAAGCCATGTGAAGTGTTAATATATCCTTAAGCGGTGTTAAAACTCCACGTAGGTACCGGTTAAATATTTCATTAGCACATTTTGGTCAAGGATTCAAATTTGGCACGAAACCTAATTTTCGACACGTTTTTAAGTAAACAGGGCAATTTAACAAACTGGCGCAAATCTAAAAACTGTCAAAATAAAACTACGATAGGCCTTACGAAATTTTAATCACTTTTTCGGCGAAATATTATGTCACGATTTCAAATACTGAAAAATATTATAAATATTTAAACTACCGTTTAACATCCTGGCGTAAGTTTTTAGATTCGAATCAGGGAATTGGCATGTTAGACAAATTAGAAATGACTACTGTCTGCGTTTGATTAAACAAAGGACGAGAAAGAAGCAATAATTGAACAAAGTTGGGAAGTTAAAATATATTCGCCACTTAAGTCATTCTTTGTCGTCCAAGAAAAAAATCAGAAAAGGAAAAAGAGTTCCCCAAAAGCAATAATCGAACTACAATACGGCCAAAGACAGAAAATTAAAATAACATAAAGAAAGGCAAGTCAACACGCATTTTATCATGATTAAACTAATATACAGTGCCGGCCAATCATGTTCTTCACTTACAACTAATACAGTCTCAGACACATTGCACTAAAACGTTTAATAATTGAATGTTCGTATTATACAAACAAAACCTGCATGACAATTTTGTCACAATGCAGCTCTTCTTTAATAATACAGCTTCGCGGGAAGTTTTTATGACCACGAGTGCCTGAAATGTCCCATCTGCGATGCCTCTGCACTCCGGATACTCGACTAAAAAACACGTCTCAATTTTTTAAGGTCTCCTCGACACTTACTCTTTCATTCTTTCAATATTATTTTCTGGCAAACTAAAGTCAACTACAAAAAGGACACTGACTTTGCTTTCATACTCGTTATCGAATTAGAGCAGTTCAGATCGTGCCTATATTAGTCACTAACCATCAACTTACAGTCAAACACTCCGCCTTAATACAGACATTAAAGTGTCCGTATTACGGAGGTACGAGAGGTTAGAAGTGTAGTTAAAAGCGAGATGGAGTAAATCAAAGCTCTCCCTTACTCCAGAAGTCCCTTCTCGAGATACCTTGGATGAAATAAACCGCACGCACGCTTCGCCGCGAACTATCAGGAATTAGGAAAGAAAAAAAAACCTGGCACCCAGGGTTATCAAAGCCGGACAACTTCCATAATTACCCTTGCACGCCTTTAAACAAACGAAGAGGAATTTAACTAAGCAGAAAATTCGACTGACCTTCGAGGATGCCGAGATTCGTCTCAAGGCGTCATAATAAACGTGATCTCTAGCTTCCTCCTGTGTTTGTAAAATTTCCAGCACACTGCTGAGTTTAGGCGGAGGAATGTTACGGTGGGGATTCTGTGATTGCATCCACTCTCGCGCGATCCTCCATAGGTTGGCCATTTAACTTCATACGGGACGCAGGAGTTAAGCATCCATTCAACCCTGGGACGGTGAATACAAAGGACAAGAACAAAATCAGTTTGCTTTAACACCAATACACAAACCAGTGTCACGCAGCCGAAAAGTGACCGACGGTAACAAACAGCCTCAAATGCTTCACACTTCTTACAAATGTACGGAGACTATTTGGCTATGCAAGCAATATTTACTGAATAGAGGTGAAAAAAACTAGTCGCTCGGACTAACACACTTCGCACGTTCAATAATTTCTAAAACACAATTATAACCGGTCTATTGAATTTCCCTATAGACTTCATCCTTACCTGCTTTATTTTGCCCATAGATACTAATTAGGAGACTTAAAATTACGATTAACAAACGGTCGCTGTACAGAAACTAGAGCTTAAGATGAGAAACCTTAGAAACATTTTGTATACACGTAAATCAAAAACGTACAGAGCAGCAATTCGCACATCTTGTCAAATTGAGTTTACGATTTGTTTGCCGAGTGTCAGGAAGCCAACTGCTTATTTGCTCTTTGCTGACATGATAACGAATTCAACTAATCCATTCATCGATCTTAATTAATTCAATCTCTCTAAGTTAGTTAATCCACACACGCTTATTTTTACACCCGAGTCAGTTATAAAGCCATATATGATGTGGTTCTACCTTTTGATTCTGTGGGTTAAAACTTATGTGGTGCAACCATTTAAATGAAACTCTTTGGCAGTACTTTTAAAAGGTACTATTTATTTCAATGATTTTCCACAATATAGTTTTGATTTGAATGAAATTTGGTTAGCATTCTTCAGAGTTAAAATGGTTAATGACGGTTAAGAGCTCTGGGATAGCCAAGCATCTTTCCAACAACAAGAGAAAAAAACTGAAAGGCAGCAATACAAAATAACAGACGTATTTATCATTGTTTAAACGTGCAACGCAAGTATAATGATCAATGACTGTTCACTGAAAAAGGATACCAAAGCAACACAGCAGTTTGGCCAGAAAAATGTCCGGGGCAGAAAAAAATCAACCTCCTGGAAATAGTTTGGTAAGAGTATTTAGCCCTAGTTCCAATACTATTCTGGCAAACTCTGACAGCAACGATCTTGACCTTTCTCACCCTGCCCCTGTGTCTTTGAGGATAGGTGGGGTGCTCTGCCTCTCCCCCTCACCCCTCACCCCACCCCTCACCTCTATGCCCCCACTGCACCTCTAACGTGACACTAGGTGACTGGCAATAGGGAGCTTAAGCAACAACGACGGCAAAGGCAGGGACAACCTCACTGTAAAAGGAAATTTGTCTCGTTTTATGTTATATCACTTTTATTCCGTCTTGTTCGGTTTGACAAATATTGCCAATTTTTTTCTGGAAGTAATTCCCAAGGACCTCATCTAAGTTCAGAAAAAAAAGGAGAAAACGTCGTCTTGTGTTTACACCATCAAAAAAAACCGTGACATTGGAAATTTCGCGTCAGTGAATTTCTGTTTTATAAGGGAAGTTTATTCTTTGCAAAGCTGAAGTTATCAGTAACAACTACACTTTCGTTTCCCTTTGCTTGAAAACAGAATGATGCGACAAACTGAAACAAACTTCTTGGCGGTTGTCAACAAGCCAAATATTAGTAAAATTTCTCTTAAGAGTTAATTTAAAAGACATTTACTCTTTCTAAAGTGAAAGTTTTGATAAGGCAACACTTCAGATATATAAACTTGACAAAAAATTATTCTTAAAATCCATATTAAAGAAGAAGCTTTTAAAGTATAGCATGCAGTGCATGGGTTTTCTGCGGAACCACAAACTATGAATTTCACCGGGATTGTTGACAAGACCCCCCACAATGTCACCCTGCTAACAACGCTTTTCTTTCGCTGGCTCGATTTTGGCGCACTCAATAAAGACTGCATGAATCGAGTAAGATCTTTGTTGAGCATGCGCTGCTTGCGGGCACGTTGTTGGGATAAAGTTCAGTGGATCCCAGGCCTAATAGCCGTGCGCTTGCTACAGCTGGCTCGGTTATGACCATAGGTTTATCAATAAAAGGATGCTCGCACTCGAACAAACATATTTGACGAGAGAAAACAAGATTGACCAGTACGGAGGTCTGGGCTGCGGTGACTTCAAAGGATTGACGCGATATTTCTCTTTCTTACTCAAGAAGACAAAATGAGGCTCTGCACGCAGGGTGCCACAACGTGGTCCCGCACGGGGGGGGTCACTTGGGTTAATTTTTGCTGGGTATGTGCCGCTGGCCTCTTAGAGCCCCTACCCCATAAAAGTCTATTCTGTGGCCAATTATACACCCCACCTTAGTCACTTTTGTAACTTTCGCGATCCCAACTCATTCACTTTCTAATTTTTTTAATTGACCCATTTTTGGATTGAATGAAGAACAATTTACTTTTCATCTACAGTAAAAACATTCTCAGGTACGTTTGCCAACCGTAAATATGAAGAACTGCCTTACCCCGAAAAATTCGAAAATGTGCTACCCCATTGTAGTGACTCTATTGAAAATGCGACCCCATTATAGTCCAGTGGTGAAAATGCGACCCCATCCAGCGTCACATCCCCATTAGCCTCTTATAAGGAAGTACCCCCCGGGAAAGTGGTCCTTTGTGTATAGGAGACAGGATAAAAAATGTTGCATGTAAAATAGAAGGTGTTTAATGAACAGAATAGTTCGCTTTTCACCTGACGTCACGGCGGCCAGATTGGTGTACAAAACAATGAAACAGCGGCCATGTTCGTGTATCAAAAATATCAAGAAATTTCCATAGCTGCTGGTTACGTGAGTGTTACGAGTCGCAATATGTTATTGCCAAAAAATTATTTCAGTGAAAACCGACGTCTGTAAATTAAAAGAATGTTTCGAAGGAAAAAAGGAAAACCATTAGGACAATAGAACCTATCAGGCAACTCAGATGACACTTAAGTAAAATCCCAGCTGTATTACGTGCATTACAAAGTCATTAACTTGGGAAATGAAGTATTGCTTAAAAATATCGGTAAAAAGCGGCTGTAATTTTCAACATCACGTGCATTAGCAAGTCATTAACTCGGTATATCAATTAAAAGTAAAGAAGCATAAATGGGTTTTACTCACGTAAGGCACTGAGCTCTGCACGCTACCCATCCTCTACTGTTTTCTTACTATTTTTCGTACAAGCTTCACATGGCGCGAAAAATCTGTCCGAAAGTGGGCAGAAAAAAGTCAGTTAGAAAATGTAAGGAATCACCTCCACGGATACCGTAAAATTCCGAAAATAAGCCCCTCCATGTATAAGCCCCTCCAAATATAAGCCCCTCAAACCGATAACGAAAAACCCTCCCCCTACAAATATAAGCCCCCGGGGGCTTGTACTTGGAAAATTGCAAAGTAAAACAAAGCAAAAACGGTAAATTTACTTCCAACTATAAGCCTAGCCCAATCGATTTTGAGACGCAAATTTCCCTCCGTAGATAAGCCCCTCCGAATATAAGCCCCTCCAAAAATAAGCCCCTCAAAAAGGGCCTTGAAAAATATAAGCCTCGGGGCTTATTTTCGGAATTTTACGGTATGTTACTCACAATGAAAAATAGCAAGTACTATAGTCAACTGGGGAATCTGAGTAAAGAAAGTTTTTAATGGTTAGAGTGACTAATTTTACTATCAGGGCGCATAATAAAGATTAAGAAGTTAACAGCGAGACGTGCTTGCAAAGCCATTGACAGAACAAAAAACCTGGCAGCTGCCTCTAACGACTTCCTGTAAGTTTTTATCAAATTTAGATGAATAAAAATTGTACACGTAGGCGACAAATAGTTACGACCTTGAAAACAGTTGTAAAGGGAAACACCAAAAATTCTAAGTATACGTTCTCAAAAAGGCGAAAAGTCACGTTCTCCAGCCAGACAAACAAATAATGAAATATATATTATTATAATAGCCCAAGCGTCCTTANCTATCATTACTTGGCTTTGTAGCCGCGTGATGCGGTTCCAGTCGAGACCCACAAATTGGCCCTTGCTGACCATAGAGTCTCCAGTAGCTCAAGTGGTTAGAGCATCCGACTAGATCACGGAGGGTCGTGGGTTCAAATCCCATCTGGGACTCGGATTTTTTTTCCGAGTCCTCCTCAAATTAATATCATGTTGTTGTTGTTTCATCTTTAATATACATTATAGTCCAGTGGTGAAAATGCGACCCCATCTAGCGTCACATCCCCATTAGCCTCTTATAAGGAAGTACCCCCCGGGAAAGTGGTCCTTTGTGTATAGGAGACAGGATAAAAAATGTTGCATGTAAAATAGAAGGTGTTTAATGAACAGAATAGTTCGCTTTTCACCTGACGTCACGGCGGCCAGATTGGTGTACAAAACAATGAAACAGCGGCCGTGTTCGTGTATCAAAAATATCAAGAAATTTCCATAGCTGCTGGTTACGTGAGTGTTACGAGTCGCAATATGTTATTGCCAAAAAATTATTTCAGTGAAAACCGACGTCTGTAAATTAAAAGAATGTTTCGAAGGAAAAAAGGAAAACCATTAGGACAATAGAACCTATCAGGCAACTCAGATGGCACTTAAGTAAAATCCCAGCTGTATTACGTGCATTACAAAGTCATTAACTTGGGAAATGAAGTATTGCTTAAAAATATCGGTAAAAAGCGGCTGTAATTTTCAACATCACGTGCATTAGCAAGTCATTAACTCGGTATATCAATTAAAAGTAAAGAAGCATAAATGGGTTTTACTCACGTAAGGCACTGAGCTCTGCACGCTACCCATCCTCTACTGTTTTCTTACTATTTTTCGTACAAGCTTCACATGGCGCGAAAAATCTGTCCGAAAGTGGGCAGAAAAAAGTCAGTTAGAAAATGTAAGGAATCACCTCCACGGATACCGTAAAATTCCGAAAATAAGCCCCTCCATGTATAAGCCCCTCCAAATATAAGCCCCTCAAACCGATAACGAAAAACCCTCCCCCTACAAATATAAGCCCCCGGGGGCTTGT